CGTCCCGTGGAGCCTGGTGCCAGCCTCATCCTGCCCCGTACTGCCCAGGGGAGTGGGGGCTGAGCACCGCCGTGTTCACAAGCTGCCGGTGATTCCTTTCCCGTGCCGAGGTCTGGTTCTGCAGTGAGGTTTAGTGAGTGGAATTTGACTCCTGAGGATCAGAGTGGATTTGGGCTTTGAAGGATTCAGCAAAAGCTGCCCTGCTGCAGGGCGGCTGGGAACAGCAAAAGTGTTCCTGTCATAAAGGAAAAAGAGACAAAGTTTCTGCTTGAATCGCGCTTAGAACTGGGAGCTTTTGTAGCTCAAGCCATATTTGGCATTTTTGTGTTCAGTGAAGTAGAGCATCTGTATCCGCTCGATGAGGTCTTCAGGCCTTTAGTAACACGCGCTAAAGCCTACACAGTGTTGCAAGGAGCTCGACTCCTGGGTGGTGAAGGCAGAGCAAGACACGACAGACACTAGAGGAGAGTGTTCAAGGACAGGGAAGACAGCAGAGGCTGCATCAGAGGACCGAGGGAGCCCCTTCTGGTCCCCGCTTCCTGCAGTTTGTCTGAAAGTGGTGTCTGTGTGTGTTGTGTATGCAAGCGAGGGGCAGGAGTCCCTGCAAGTGCTCTTGCTCTTCATTTTCAAGCTGTGCCACAGCAGGATGAGGTGTGTTGCTCACAGAGAGCACCCCTGCAAGCTGCTCTGCTGCTTGATGTGAGGTGCCGGGGCCGTGTTGGTGGTTCCCTGCTGGGTTTGTAGCTCTCTTTCGATGTACGACGCTGAGCCTCTACCTTCTTGGGTGAGTGGTGTTTGTAAAGCACTTTGGTGCCAGCAGCAGCTAATTGTGAGTGTTGGTTGCAGCTTGAGGACGATGACGACGATGATGATATGGGGGACCATGATGAGGACCACCCCGGGATGGAGGTGGTGCTGCATGAGGATAAGAAATACTATCCCACCGCCGAGGAGGTCTACGGGCCTGAAGTAGAAACGATAGTACAAGAGGAAGACACGCAGCCTCTCACTGGTAAGTGGTGAGGAAGCAGCGAGTTGGCTATGGAGGAGGAGAAGACTCTTAATGGATCCTTGGGAAAGGGAAAATAATGTTCTCTTCCATTCTCCCCGTTGGTTTTAATGCCCCTGTTGAATTCCCTCTCAGCCCCAGGAATGTGTGGACTCTTGTTTGTCTAGATGTGCGCAGATTTCGGTGCTCAGGATTATTACAAATGCCAAACAAACTATCTTTTGAAGAACAGATATCAGCAGATGCTAGAAAGATATTTAAGGAGAAATGAAAATGCATTTAAGTCATCTTATTTGATCCTTCTATAATAGAATAGAATAGTTCATTCGGAAGGGACCTACAACGATCATCTAGTACAACTGCTTTTATAAAAAGCTCAGAGAATCTGTCATCTTGAAAGCTGGGGTTTTGTCTGCAAAAATCCCTGTTCCCTACGACCGTTTCTGAGCCTGCTGTGTTCGGGGTCTCTGGTAACAGTGTTTTATTGTTCTTTCTCTTGTTTTCAGAGCCTATTATAAAACCTGTGAAAACCAAAAAATTCTCTTTGATGGAACAGACGTTACCGGTCACTGTCTATGAGATGGAGTAAGTCATATGGAGGGGTTTTAAGCGTGTACATTGGCTCAAGCCATCTGTGCTGCGATTTCCTCGCTTTTTGTGGTGTGCAAGCAAAGGTGGGGAGGCAGAGGGGTGTGCACTATGTCAGGGGGCATTGGCTTTGTTTCTTACTGATGCCAGCAATAGAACTGAGTGTTTGAACCAAAAAAAAGAGGAGGAAAGAAGAAGACTAACCATTTTACAGAATATTTTTCTGTCCACGTAATGCAGCGTAGTGCATAGTTTTCTGACACTAGAACATAAATCTTACCTCGGCAGCTGATACAAGGCTTGATAATCGGAAACCCTTCCAGTGCAGATTTGCCAAAGTCAAGTTTTCTTGAGTGGCTCAAGAAATATTTATACAGTCAGTGAGTGTGTGGCACACCTCATATTGGGACATTTTGGGTTGATCCTAGTGACCATTGGCCTACTGCTGTCTCTAATTAATTCCCATCTATCCTGGAGGAGTTTCCGGGGGAAATTTTTACGCCGCTGGTTTTATGCAAAGTTGTGTCTTTGGTCAGTGTAATGCTGCGGCTAAATTGCACTTCTGCTGCACTTGATGGTGTTTGCTGGTTGTACACCGCAAAGCGGACTTTGGGAAAAAAATCCAAATTTAAAATCTGAGATATAATATCTCATGCAACTTCGGTAAGGCATAAAAACAGTTGTCTACTTTCTCTATTAAAAATATATAATCTTAGGATCAATGTCTACATTTTGTTGGTGGTGGAGGGGCTCTGTATCCTCGCGTGTGTAGCGTTTCTGGCTGTTGTCTTCTATTTGAGGATGAACAGATTGAGCTGCGTGAGCGTCTTGTTAGGCTCATCTTTCCATACGCCACTTCATGGCTAGTCAGAGCTTTTTCCAATTTTTAATAGTCGTCTTTGAGTGTAGATCCCAGACCCAGATGCAGGCTGAGTAGCAGTTCCCTGGGTGCCAAACAGACCCCGACGTGAGCAGTCCCTCTGCGTATCATCAAGGATCCTGTTATTTTCCGGCAACAAAATTTCACTGCAGTTTGTATTCAGTCAGTTGGTTACTTGGATGCCCAGAACTGTTTTGGAACGGCTGCTTCTCGGGGCTATCCCCTGATGCTGCCAGTTTGGCCGTGTTCATTGATCAGAGAGATTTTTGATACAGCCAGATATAAAACAAAGAGCCAGCTGGGTCTTGTTTTCCTAAGCAGTCCATTTTGCTCTTAGTCAATGACCTGTATGCTTCATTATCTACCGCTTTGCTGATCCCTGTGTCCTCTGCTCGTTCCCTCTGTAATGAGTTCCTCTTCATCCTGTTTGTTAATACAAATGGTTAGGACGGGGCCAGGAGAAATTCCCTGTGGGACTTAACCAGAAACCTGCAAACTTGGTATTGATTTCCCATTTAGCCTTATTTTAAGACCAATAAGCAAGCTTTTAATCAGCATTACTATCGATTTTTGTATTTTTTAGCTCTTAATCAAAATGTTGTACGTTAAGAAGTCTACAGCATCAGTGAAAATTAAAGTCTTTTTAAAAAGGAGATTATTTGACAGCACTTATTTTCTGCAGACCCGTCGCAATGGATATGTGTTTTATAGCCTCCCATTACTTTTTAGAGGAGTTGGTAATTTAGGATCTCAATTAGATTTTGGCTCGGGTCCATGCAGAAGTGACCGGCCCTTCATTACCCAGCTCAATTGCTTATTCTGAAAAGATTTAAATTCCGTTACTGTTTCCTTGAGTCCCTGGGAACATCACTGTTTTAAGACCTGAAAATCAGAATTAATGGTCTGCGGAGCCCCATGGCTACCTTTTAAAACTGCGTGGGGTGCTTGTTATCCAGCTCTGCGATTTACTTGACTGCCTGCCACTATTTGAGTGGAAGTATTTCATCATCTGAGTACATGGATGTGACTTTTGCTCTAATACTGACTAGAAGAGAAGAAAAATATTCAATAATATTCCATTGCTGGCAGTTTTACCAGTTCCGTATCCTCCCACCCACTGCCATCTGTCTAGGACTCCAACTCT